ATTGGATCGCAGAGAGACACGGGATTGGCTGAGGCCAGGTGACCCAACATGTCTGCGCCCTAATCCGACGCCACACCACAAATAGCCTACAACCTCACATATCAAAATGGCGTTTGTGTATAAAGCACTTGTAAAAATGGGAGACAAGGCTGTTCCAACATCTCTTCAACCATTTTGGAATCATCCGGCTGGTCCTAAAACTGTCTTTTTCTGGGCTCCAACATTCAAGTGGGTAAGCAAGTCTACCTACACCGTAGACATTACAACCCATCAACTCTACTAAATGAATTAACTGGTATATTTGTCTTCTTTTCGCATCTAGGGCCTCGTAATTGCTGGAATCGCAGATTTAAGACGACCAGTGGAGAAGGTTAGCGTTTTTCAAAGCACAGCTTTGGCTTTAACGGGTCTTATTTGGTCCCGTTATTCTCTTGTCATAATACCAAAGAACTGGAACCTATTCAGTGTAAACATCTTCGTTGGTGGCACTGGAATCTACCAGCTTCTCCGTGTATTCCGATATCGAATGAAGGAAAACAAACCTTTAGCTTAATCAGCCTAGTGTCTAATTGTTGCTAGTTGGGTCTTAACGTAATATTGTTATTCCTTTTCTTTTCTGTAATATAAATGAGTTTTTTGAACATTACCTTTTTTCGAAGACGTTTCTCTTAGTTTAGGCATAAAAGCTAATTAACTTTCTTTCGCATTTAATTTAGACTGTCAATGTATTTAGTTAGATAATTATAGTGTTATCGACGCTGCTCTCGTTTTTGCATCAGAATGGGAGTATCGTATTCGTCGTTTGTCGCGGTGACCTTGTGAACTTGGCTTTCATGTTTGTATCGTAAATTCAATAGCACAATCGAGAGTATCAGATTGCTTTTTCAAATGACAATTGGTCTGTCCACCTTGTGTAGTGTAAAACGCACGTCAAGAGATTAACCTGGAGATGCGATAGCAATTATTCATTTGGTGAGGCGCTTAATTAGATTCTGTATGCAAGTAGGGCCTCACATCGTGTTGGCTATTTTAAACTCGGGATAAGTTCGATTGAAGTGATTGCCCGTACTTTGAGTGGTGCCAAATGTGACCTATTGGAGTAGATGTGTTTCCACATCTGACGGCAATGATCCGCGACCATCCGTAAATGGCTCTTCGCTTAGATCCTTGTGATTGTTTGTAGCAGCGGCCTGGCTTCAATCGTATCTACAACAAACAGGATAATCCACGTTACCGGCCCGATAAATGTCATGTGTAGGCGGTCGTAGTGTGCCATACCTGGCGTCTGTGGCGAATGGAGGCTGAAGTTGGTGTTTGAGGCAGCATCTATTGTTGGCTTGTGAATTGGATAGAACCAGGCAGTGCGATTGCCATTGTGTGTGGTTCTGAACAACGATTGGCTGTTAATTTAGCCGGGGATTGTGGGTGTGCGCTGGCAGAGGTTGCAACTCTGGTCGTCATGGTGTCGGCTTTTTAAACGAACGCGACATGTCACCACCATACGTATTTAGGCCCCCTCACCTATGAATCCTTACCAAAACTGCCATCAACGATATTTCAGGATGCGAAGACTGTGGACACGATTATGGGCCTAACAAATGTGCGTAAGTAGTCGGTTTCACTCCAGGATCGCTGTGGAAGCAAAGGCTCGAATGCCTGCAGATACAATCTGGTATAGTTCGTTGCCCGTCGTTCTCAAACTGCCCTGCTGTCACCTAATTCGTCAAACACAACGAGACTTTGAAGGCCGAGATAAGCGAGATTCGTGATTAATTAATTAAGGTGAAAACTCCCGAGATCAAGCTAATAAACCCAGCCCTTATCTATGGACACAAGAACACCCATTTTTAGGTTGTGTAGTGACTAACTCAACAGCACCGGATTTGCTTATAGTATGAAATAATTTTCTTTATTCAAAAGTGAATTAACTAGCCATGTGGTGTACAAGAATGGTTCAAGGCAATGCTCCTAATCTTCAGCGATACACGGTTTTATCTGTAACCAATCGCTGTGAGAATCTGAAGTCAAGTTCTTATATTCGTCACCCAGAAATCCGTTTCTGAGTGTTACGAAAAACCTTTTTTTTGAAATTTAAAAGTGATAATCACCTGTGCTTAGAAAATACGAATACCTTTCTCCACGTGTTTCTTGCCTTAAAAATTTTCCATTTTCCCTAAAACAACAAACATGAAACAAAAGAATACTAGCCGAAAACGCAATCTCGCAGGTTCGATGAATTACCCTTTCCTTTACCAACCTATTAAATTATTGTCTATCATGGTTAATGTTGACCGTGTTTCTTCGTTTAATTTAAAAAAAAAGTACAAAAAACTCCAAGGTACCTTCTTTATTCCATGAAGAGCCCATTTCAGTTAATTTGCAAACTGAATATTTTGACAGCAGTGCGTTTTCTACGTAACTGGATAGCAAATTTCTATACTGCACACACATCAAATTTAGTCAGTACATTCCAACTGCCTCCGTTCGCTACGCACAAATGGGTGGACCATGGTGTAGGTTTGGCAGAGTCCAGGTTTTGTGTTTCGCTATCGTGTCGTTGCCTACGCAACTTTCACAATCCTTAAGTTAAAATATGCGAGGATCGTTTACAAGTGAACATTTCCTTCAGTGCAACTCCTAAAAACGCGATCTGGCTCTGATTTTGCAAATTTTCGTGTGATTACTGGTTATAACGACTCAGACGTGTCCACATTCTCGGCATTCTGGCGTAAAATGAGAAAGCATAGTTTTTCTGTGAACCATTTCCACCACTAACATAACGATCCACCGCATTTGTCGTGCTGTTGGATTTGCACCCAAATCCAGGTGTTCCGTGGATGGAAGAGTTGAGCAGCCTCACGAACATGCAAACACGTGGAGACACTTTGATTCAGTACCGGTAAGCTGTGCGAAGCAACCACAGCAGACTTGTCTTCACCACGTGAAATCTTGGCACGGTAGGGTGTGGTTTCGTTTCTCAAATTGATTAACGGACCTAACTATGAGTTTCATGTTCCGGAACTACATTTTGTGCCAACGTCTGCCAGTGTAAGTTGGTCCAGCCGACGATTTCCAATATAAGTCGAGTTTGTGAAAGCCTCGGCATGTGATATTGAACCACATCCTGCATTCGCTTGAATTCTCCGCACGGCTAACCAAGAAGACGAAGGCGATTCGAAATGGCGGGGACACGACCGTGTGTGGGTTCAAAGTAGCTGATGACTGATGAAGTTTATTGACTAATACATTCGTTGATTGGGCTATCACGACTCACTTGAGGGTAATATGAGCCGTTTTTGTCAATTCGGCATTGCTCCAAATCCACCAACTTTTGAACCTCTTTCTCCAAGCGGATTCTTCCGGTTTTGCAGGATGTTAGGCAAACAGTGCCAAATCCTTGAACACATCTGATATTTACTGGCACGATTTTTGGAGAGAGGCATTTGCAAAAGTTTAACTTAAATTACAGAGCGATTTTAGACACGCAAAATCACGGCAATTTAAGGAGATCATTCAGTCTTCCAACATTTTCAGCTAGGTGCGAATTCACCCAAATAAAGCCATGAGTGGTGGGCATTTACGGAAATTGGAAAGCAGCTATTACCAACCTCCCCAATCTGTCATTCGTCGGGGCACATGTATCATCAATAGATGTCCGTTGATATCTATTAGTGGGATCCTTCAAGTGCCTGCAACTGATTCAATCGGCAGTCATTAATGTCAGCTGCAGGTTGGATGGTTTAATTAACTGTTTTTACCGTTAAGCATCATCGAGAGGAGGGACTGCTGAAACTCGCAAACTATTCTCTCGTGTCGTAGACCTTTTATTGTAGAATTATCCAGTTTTGTCACTTATGGAAGTAGTGTTCAACCTCATTTGTATGGCTCCTTGCGGGTAGTTGATTTGTGCCACAGTATAAATTGTCGCTAATCTTGTTCATTCACGTCCATACTCTTTGTCCTCGCAACCACCGGCTCCCTTTTCACGGCGTGCCGGTCAGTCGTACGAACCGCCTGCTCACACACCCCTATGCAGTTTCACCCATCTGACCGTTAAGCCATTTGCACTTTTGCCTGTTCAGTCGTCGAAAACCACTACTGAACGCATCCACGCGCACAACACATCTAGGTTGAGGCATCTAATTAACGGTTGTCTCCGCCCCTCCAGTCTTCTCGTGTATCTACGTAACACAACCTGGCCAATAGGTATCGGGAGCCCCAGTGTGGTTCGAGACCACATATTGGTTCCTTCAACAGCACATATTTAACCATATTTTTTTTTAACTTCCCCGGTAAAATACCCTTTTCTGAAGTGAGCATGGTAATCTTGTCGAAATCCTCGCGATGTGCGTTAACGAATGTACCAGAATGCAGTCCAAGTCACGCGCAAAGTTGGGTTATCGCTGATTGTTTTAGCGTAGGCTGCCCACATTTTTTGGTTAAAGATTATCAAATTCTGACCTTTCCTTGCACGCATGTCTGTACCTGGTTCCGTGGACACCAAACTTCTCGCTCCATCAACGCAACATAGCAATTCGTGAAATCGTCGATTTAATCTGAGCCCCCATTTGAATCCGTGTTCTTTGCTCGCACACGGTAATGCGGTGTTTGGCCTATCGGAGCATCCGACGCCTTCAACAAATCTGGTCTTCCATTGTCTCCGTCCTGGAGAATTCCCTGTCCGACTTCAGCACAATACACCTCCTTGAGTCCACGAGGTTTCATTGTGGTTACTCGGTAGCCATAGCAACGGCTAAAATGAAGACCAACACGTGTGTTTGTGGGTGCTTCGATTTGAGTTCTAAATGCATGGATTTGTAAGTGTACGTGTGGGTAGAGCGTGGGATTAGGAATGCTAATAACCTTAACGGGAACTCATAGTGTACTCCGTGTGGAGTAACTTGTGTTTATTGAAATTGACTGTGAGCTTGCATCAGGATTTCATGCAGCTGACGAATGATTCTGGCAACAGAAACAGCCTATTTTTACATTGTTTTTGCTGTGGTTTAGTGTTGTTATTTTGACCTCAATTAGAAAGTGGGTCAAAACACTTAAATATGACTGCTGACAAATAAATATTCAGTTAAAAGAAATCCAAAATAAGTTAAGGGTCTGGCAAGGAATAGATTTATAGATTCGATGTGAAGTTGTTTAAACTGAGCAGTCCGAATCGCGGTGCGATTGGTTCAAACACAAAGAGCACTGGACGAAGCTTCTATCACAGATCAATTTGACACGCCCACCATCCATGCGGTCATTTTGCGAGCGTGGTCTGAAGGAGTGGTATCCTTGACGTCTTCTTGCACGAGATGCGGAGTTAGCTACCCCCCCATTAATTCTGCTTTGTGCCTCCAAATGCGTAGATTGTCAGCTGACTTAGAAGTGCCCTCAATGTCTGCTGAGCTGTTGTGGATGCCACTTCATAAAGCGATTTCGGTTTCCACGAATGGATAACGCTGTTTGATTTGAAGGAATTTTTTAATGTTGTTTAAAATGATGAAATAAATTGCGTCTAATCCGGTTTAAATTAATAGGTGCGAAAACGAATACTTCTATGAAATTGGCGATAAGTTTATGGCAATGCCCGGTGAAAACAGACTTGTGTGTTAGAATTGATTCGAAAGTGGCGATGTGAAGATTATAAACTTATGGTTGGCTGAATCTAATGAAGTCCTAATCACAACCCTAATTGAATAGGACAGTGAACAGTTTGGTAAAATTGATGTTTGGATTCCTCCCTTTCACTCAACACAATTATTTAATATTTGTATTTTAAACGGGGTGAGTTTGGAATTGATTGTTGAAGGCAATGAAAGGCCTACTGCCAATCAGAAAGACCTTGGTCTAAGCAATGTCAAAAGTTGTTATTTTTCGGGATTGCAACACCATTGGAAACTCGTGACCTTGTTCTATCAGGTTACAAGTTATTTCGAATTTTGCGAAATTCTTTGAACGACATTAATGATGACATCACAGTGCAGTGAATCGTGTTGACTCACGTTAAACACCGCGGTCGTCGCAGCCTCACACGCATGCCCCCCCCTTTTCACGACCTGCCCGTCAGTCACGTGAGGCCGCTGGTTCATCAACCCCCCTGCATGCCCCACCACCACCACCAGCTGTAGTCATGTGACCTCACAGACACCTGTGTTGAATTTTGTACATGTCCACTCAACCGTAATTGTACACGACACAACTGTGTTGAGCTACCAAGTAAACGGTTGTGCCTTCTCCACTCCGGTCTTCTTTATTTTCGCGGGAACACAGGGTGGTTCAAGACAACACGCCGGAGCCCTCAACAGCACTTAGTTTAGGCTTTTGTTAACAAGATTTCGAAGTTGAATACCAAAAGCCAATTGGTCAAAAGATTAACTTTGCATCAGATTATTTTTTTTCTTCCGACAATCGATTTGTGGTGGCTTATTACACTTATTTGCCACCCAAACCATAAAGCACTTTAAATGTTTAAAACTTGCATGGGTGTTACTGCCTAAGTTCTGGTCAATATCAACGTTACAATGAAAGGTAGATTGCTCGGATGGTCACAAAAGTGAGGGCCAAGTGGCTACATTTTTAACAAAAAATAATTTCTAGTTAATTCAATGGAACCGAAATCCATCAATAGAGGTGCTTTATGCCGCATTTTTCTGCAATTGTAAGGATTCCTTTTGGGTTACATTGAATGTTCTGGCTGAGTTGTGGTTTCAAATTGAGAACAGCTTGTAGCGTTGATTTATTGTTTCGCAATAAAGGCCCCTTCACAGGCTTCGTGAATAATCCAATTCCCAAACAAACGCTACTTCAAACAACCTCAAACTAGCAAGCCTGCGATGTGTGAATCGCAGGTGGAAAATTCATGTAGTTTGGTAGTTATTGAAGAAGTTCAAGTTATCTGTTTGAAAACGAGGCCAATTCGGCTATATTTTGTAGAAAAGAGTCAACAGAAGGTGATTAGATCGAAGCGAAAACCTGTCTTGGTATCTAGGTATGTTCTCAACTGTTCAAAAGCGCGTGAATTTGACGTGAAAATCTAGAAAACCAATCTGATTGCGGTAAATTTTTCCCCCACCAAATGGATCATGGTCTTGAACTTTTCGAGTTCCATTCAAACATCGACTTCGTGGGTCTTCAGTTTTTCAAATTTAAATTAAGCCCCGTTGAGCACCGATTAAAGTCCACTCTGGACCAAAATGAGCAGATAGACGTCTTTTTCACCCATTGACTAGTCTTGTCCGCATCGAAGTCTGCAGCACATACAACAAGCGTTATATTTTTTTCCGTAAGTGGTACCCTTCGTGCAAAATTTGGTGGAAAGTTGTGGGCGTCACGCAACTACGCGATGTTTTCGTCTGGCGCTAATTCATTGGCCCTCACGTGACTCACTTGCCGTTGCCATGCCATCAACAAGTGATTGCTTCTGCCCACCTACGTCTGAATAAAGCCATGGCAATGCAGTCAAAACGGCTTCCTCCCATCCATTGTTGACTGCATGCACATTCATCTGCGCCACCCAATAAAATACCGTCAAAACAGGTATAAAGGCAGCCCCGCCTTGCGTGTGTGATCATACTACACAAATCGCCGTGCGCTCCCGCTTCTAACTCGCTGTAAAACAATGCACTTCCCGCAATCTGCCTTCGTGATCCTCGGAGTACTTACACTGGCGCATCTGGGTATGTTGAAAGGTTCTTCTTCAACGATTATTTCAGTTCATTTTTTGTATTCAACATTTGCTGACACTACAGTGACCAAATGGTTCCTACGTAGTCTAAAAACGCTCGTGCTGTAGGAATGCTGACCTTTTGTGTTCTTTCCAGTGTCTCCCCGACATATTCGTTCGGCTGAAGTAGAACCGAAATCTTTGGTAGATCAACTAGGTGACAAATTTCCAAAGTCATTCGATTTCCCAAAAGACTTTCCCAAATTCCCCTCTGGAATCGCCCTTCCACAGTTGGGTCCGTCCAATCCAAAGCGGGTTTCCGAAACCAAAGTCACCATTGAGGATAAAAAAGGTCCAGACGGAAATTCTCACAGCAAAGTAGTTCACTCCGTCGATAA